CAATGTCTGGGCCTCCTGTTCGAAGTCCCTTAATGTCTTATGCTCAGATAGTGCTCAGTTTTGTCTTTGCTGTAACTGTGTTGTGCACTGGTAATGTGAATCAATTCGTACTGTCACTGTGCTTTTGAGTGTTGTTGTACTCTGCGTCTTCGATTGACTTGATTCTGTTTGAATCAGTGGTCTGATTTCGTTATAATGTGACTTGTGTGTATTATCTTCTTGATATGTCCTCATTTTGTGTGGCATGGCCCATAGCACTTGTTTGCCGTTCCATTACACGTCATGAGGTTATGTTCTATCACTTTATTGAGCTGATCGTTCGTGATTTCTATTTGTGTGTTTTCATGTGTTGTGTACTTCTTTAGTCCAGCTAATTGCCTTCCAAGTACTAGTCATAGACTTCTTTTCTAAGGTGCGTTGTCTGTGTCTGGTGTTATGCTATTGATATTTGTTGCGTAATCCTAAGTTCATTTTGTTGTGAGAGTTTATGTTGTGTGATGTGTGAGGTGATTTCTTTGTTTCGATGTCCCTTATTTATTTATTGAATGTGGATTGCACCCTGAATAATTCTTGAGTCAACTAATAAAAGTATTTCCTTCACTTTAAGTTTGTGTGCTTTGTTATTTAAGTAGTTTGTCTACAGTAGCATTTCTTACTGCTCGAATTATTCGTCATGATATTTGCATGTCCATAGCTGATTTCTTCAAAACAGTGTCTACAATTATTGTTTGTGTGTATACCTGGTGTACTGTTCGTTATGGTTGACTCCCAATATGTAACGTTCTAATATCTCACTCGTAGCTGTGTGTATTAGTTGTGTAGTTCTTTTCGACCTTGTGATCGAATTTTTTATGTTCGTGTCAGTGTAAGTCATGTAAATCTTATGAATTCTGATTGAAATCATCTGATTCTAAGTATTATTCTTGGTCACCTTGTGATAGCTTCATTCTAGATGCTAGTTATACTCTGTTCACCGAGTTGACTTCTTTATCTTGCACTTCCATTGGCTCTTTGCTTCCCTAGATTTTGCTTTTTAAGTATTTTGGATACTTGATCCGGATCTAATTTGCTTTAGCGTGTGTTCGTGTATTATTCGAGTCTTGTCTTTTAGAATAGCGTAGCACTAGTTGTGTCTATTTTTGAATGTTGCCTTGTGTTTGCACTTTGCTGGTAGACTTGTTGTAATTACCCTAAAGGTCTCGTGCTACGTGCTCTATTGATTTCACGTTGTGTACATCTGATTCTGATATGTGTATGTGATCGCGTCTGTCTTTCTTAGGCTTAGCACGTTATGTACTATAGCTTGTACGTTATAGACTGTAACTTGTATTGTTCTGTGCATGTAAGTTGCTAGCTGATTTGTGACTTGCAATGTGCTGGTGTGATTGTGTTGTTATGTGCATGCAATGATCTCACGGTGTCACGTGCATAAAGTTACTGTTGGTTGTATACGAGAACTGAGTGATGCGGTAGTGTCCTTTTTGTGATTGTGACATCCGGTTGTTTTCTTGTTCGAAAATCTGGGGGAAATCTCAACCTTGATGAACTAATCACCGTGACAGCTTTCTCCTTTTTTCACTGTTTTAGCCTCCTTACATATCACTTCCTTACTGAGACACGTTACTTATTCTCGCATAACTTTCACAACCCTCACTTGGACACTGCCTGTTTGTGCACACAATACTTTCGCTGGTGTAACGTGGTACTTACTTTGGCATATGTTACCCTTGCAAACTCAATATGGTTACCTGGTTGTTTCTTATTCTTTTCTTATCGAATAATGGAAGTAGCTTCTTTCTGAGTCTGCTCGTGCCGCCCACGCTGCTGCTAGCCTCTGGTTGTTGAGAGTCCATCTATCCTCTTTTTGTTTTGTTTTGCGGTTCGAGTTCTTTGAAGCCTCTCTGCTGGGTCTTTCTTCGTCGTTATCGGTATCCCTTGTGGGATAATTTTTAATAAAGTTAAAGCCACGCAGTATGCTGCTTCACTCCTGTTCCCTTCTTGGTTGTAGAGTGTAAATTGTTAGACTAATCTAAGTAAGGATATTGTAAAAAGTGTAGAGTATGGAGAGTAGCTGAAAGGTACGAGACATTAGAATACAATAGACCTCTACTCAAGTACGAATATCTCAGCTAGGAAAAGTCCCTAGTCTGATAGAACCGAACTGAGTCTTTATTTGTGTTTTCACTAGACTCAGGGGTTACTTGAGTGTTTCTCTCACACGCGGGAGTCCGGTATATCTTACCGGTTCTACCGCTAATATTTCTGATGACTCTAATATCAGAAATATTCCAATCCTAATTCCAAAACTCAGTATTTGATTTTTCTGGGTTTTGGGATTTGGATTGGCTTTTTGATAATCTGGTTTCTAGATGCTACAAGATGACCAGCAGCTCCGTCTGTAGCATGGATAATTTCACAACCGACGTTCATACCGTTGGAGATGTTGTAACCGCCAGCACATAATGTAAAAAAAATACTGACAAAAATACATAAACAACCCCCTGTAGTAAATTCACAAAGTGAATGACTGGAACTAGGCAACCTAGTAATATGTTGGTTGGTTTGTTTAGTCATACATTCACCTAATTTATTAGAAAACTAGAAAGTGTCGCGAGTACTTAGATCTCAGTCCGCAAGATCCTCTCCTGGGTGGATTTCTCTGAACCTTTCACGCTGAGATCACCACGTCACTCTTGGTGCTCTGAACCTTTCGCGCTGGGCAATAATGCTGGCCTAGTATCATTTGATTGGCTTCCATCACAAAATTTAGATTCGAACTCGCGACCTTTTCGGTTTGTAGTAAAATAGGGGAACGACTGAACTAACCAACCTAGGAATCAACCAACCTAGTACTCAGTTGGTTGGGTCAGTCATTCACCTAATTTACTACAACTCTTCAAGCCTTCTTTTTTTGGGCGATGGTTGTATCATCTGCCCTGTACCAGCTAATCCACTTTTTTTTTGGTTTTGTATTCATCATTTTTGTACAGTATGTACAACAAATATTGTAAAATAAAACATGTCTCCGACATGCACGACACATGTAGTTAACGTACACATAGCTTAAACCAGCCTGAACACAACATGAGTATTGCCGCCGTGAGCAAACCGTCTGCGTCACCACTAGCACCCAAACTGCCGCCAGCCGAGGTAACTCTACAATTTTAATCTAGTGTTTTTTTGGTGTTGTCCGTCGTGTGCGTTAAATATCCCTGAGTTGCAATGCCAATGGCGACTGTACGACGTACTTGAAAATTTTATATACAAGCTTGCCACCCACCTTAGTACCATGTATGATATTCTTGAGAATCTTTGATTGTGTCCTAGCAATTACAAGACATTTATGCGTTCGAAATATGTCGTCCTAAAAATCCAAATTAAATATGTGTTGATTCTATACAGTATTAGCTAGTGGTATTGCCCTTTGTCATCCGCATATGTTTAACCCGTATGTATAATGTACACTAATTCTGTACAGCTATGGTTGGCTCAGCCCCGGACGGCAAAATAGTATAAAGTTGTGTTGTACCGTTCGTATAATTGTTAAGTTCGAAATTTTTAGATTTCACTACGGCTGACGAAATAAGAATATTTCTTGATTTTAATTAGTAGCCAAATTAGCATAATAATGTCCTTGGCCTCTTGCATATGTGCATCAGCATCCCTGAATTGCTACTCCGCTTGTTATCCCCTTCATATGTTGTATGGCCTTATTGCTACGACGAAATCATCACTGTGGTCAATACTTACAATACAATATACAGTTCGGTACCAAGTATGGTACATATACACGAACTGACACCTGTCAGAGTGATACAATATTATGATAATTGGGACTTCATAAATAGATCACGCTCCTGTACACTTACGTGTGAGCTCATATGATGTACAATAAGTAAATAATTCTTTGGAGAGAGTAAAATAAACATATACTAAATATGATTGTAAATGGTTTAACAGGTTATGGGCCATATTGGCCTATGTTGTATATCCTACTAGTATCTTTCTTTACTGTATCACTACATACTCCGAATGCCGCTACCATGCATCCGACACCAGTACCAAATTCACGAGTTTCCATACAGTATTCCACGACCATTTCTTCCGTCGAAATCTTGAGCCTTCCTACTGAACACTCCTTCGCCACTGCTCGCGACTTTTGTGACACCAATTGGCCTGATAGTACGGCTTACCCTACCCTTGAGGATGCAACACTCACCTTCTTAGCATTCATGCGATGCTACCTGAGTTTAACTCAATGCCCGTGACGTTCTTGTTGGTACTGTCCAACTCATAGCTCACTTTGTTGTCTCCCGTACAACCACAAAGCATCTTAAAACTCAGCGATCAACATCACGATGATGCCACTCGCTACAAAAACAAGGCTGCTGATATGGAATTCGACCTCACCTCAATCAGCTATGCGATCTTCATGCCGTTGAGTCAGTTGAAAAACCATCGGCTGCTGTCGATACAGTAATGCTAGGCTCCGTAGGTTCTGAACACTTTTAACGTTTCACCGCCTGTGGGTCTTCCAAGTAACGGTTGTGATGAACAGGAAAGTGTTTGCGATGTGCAATTGTATCAATAGGGATATTCGCCGCATCCTGACAATTCCCCTGCAACTCTTTTAGTGATCGAGAGCGACGGTGACGTTGCAACTTAGCACGAAATAAGTTCGTTGCCACATGACCCTGGTTCATCTGTTGCTGCGGAGACTTCATCACTCTGCGGAAAGCATCAAAAGAACGTTTTGCCGACAACGATAAATTCCGAGGAGTGTCCATGTCCAAGTGCGAATCCGCAGGTTCCAAAAAAAAATCTACCAGTTCTTCGACAACCGATCTCTACGCGTAACATGAACATTATCGTACGGAGCCACTTGAGGTACGGGCTTCGTACCGCTAATCCTGCATTTCACCGGGCTAATTTGCCTCAATGTTGATAGCCCCATTGTCAAGTAACTGGTCGGTTGGTGTCGACCCTGCCTGCGTTGGGTATTAAGGAGCCCAATGTTGTTGCACTGTTGGTGCGGCCTGAGTCTCAGAAAAATGATCATCCACTGTCGCCTGGACCGTGTCCTGGGGCGTAGACGTGTCAATATCCGCCCGTGACAATTCACTGAGTTGGCGGGGTTGCTCTTGAATGAGATGAATATTTTCCTTGGCCTCCTGCACATGCATCATCGTATTCAAGTGTCCTACTTGATCAGATATCCATTCTGGGGATTGTCTAAGCCTACCCAGGGTTTGGATTGAGTATTGGGCCTCCGAAAGCAAACAGGTCAATTCCAAATTGATTTCTACCTTCTTATCGTATTCGGGTGCAGGTTTCTTGGCACGTGCTGTGTCCATCTTATCGCATAGCACGGTTAAACGGCGAAGAGCTCCAACCAACCGTTCCAGCAGCCGGTCACGGGCTTGCTTACCTACCGTAGGCAATGGTCTAGTCTTGGGTCCCGTCATCGTTGTAAAAAAAAAGTAAACTAAGTTGCTTCTTAGTTGATTAATCATTTAAAGTACGTAGTATAATAAATACAGTAGTTCGGTCGCTTAAAAATGTAGTCAAAACCGAGTTGCGCTTAGTCAAGAGTGTTAAGTCTGAAATAAGTGAACCCAGTCAGAAGTACCGTTATGAACGGCGCGCCTGCTGTATTTATTAATCACGTTCCTATGTGGGACGAGATTTTTTCTAACAGCAGATTGTGAAAATCTCCGTATTTAAGATTATGGTCTCCTAGTTACTAAATATTGATGACGTCCGATGAGTCATCATTCTTCTCACTAAATTATATATTCCTGTAGCTACTAGGGATCAGATTATCAAAAAAGCCAATCCAAATCCCAAAACCCAGAAAAATCAAATACTGAGTTTGGAATTAGGATTGGAATATTTCTGATATTAGAGTCATCAGAAATATTAGCGGTAGAACCGGTAAGCTATACCGGGACTCCCGCGTGAGAGAGAAACACTCAAGTAAATCCTGAGTCTAGTGAAAATACAAATAAAGACTCAGTTCGGTTCTCTCAGACTAGGGACTTTTCGTAGCTGAGATAACCGTACTTGAGAAGGGTCTATTGTATACTGTTGTTTCGTACCTTTCAGCTACTCTCCATACTCTACATTTCACTATCTGGTCCGGTCCTTGGGTCCGGTCCTCAATTAAATCCTCTTAGGCCCGATCCTTTGGTTCGGTCCTAAATAAGTTCTCTTTGGTCCGGTCCTCTGGCCCGGTCCTAAATTCTTCTTGTCGATTCGGTCCTCTGGACTCTGGTCCGGTCCTATATCTCCGTCTACTGTACTTTGTCCACAGTAGCGAACGTGAATCCGTCATCCTCAAACGTCTGTCGTCTCGATGAGTGTCATGACAAACTTGCTGACATCAAAGCCCGTTACTGAACACCGCGCTCAAGTCCACGAGTGACACTGTGCAGCTTCAAGACGAAATCACATGGCTCACTGCCGAACTCAAAAACGCCTTTGATCATGTAGAAGTACTTCATTACGTCCGCCAGACCCCAATATCTATTGCCGAAAAAATATAGAATTACGCCTGAAAAGCCCGGATTATTCTATAGTGATTGTCCTAAGTACAAAGATGTCTACAAACGGCCCATTCTTGAGGACTATATCTATTTCGGGAACTGGGTTGTCCGGATGGAAATGAAACATTTTGGTGTTCTCATTCGCTTACACCTTCCTTGCAGTGATTCTACAGTCGGTGGCGGCCCTGACATGATTGCCGACGCTAAATGTCGCCTCATTCTCATAAATTATATTAGTGTGGCCTTAATCACTTTAATTTACAAATCTCGCATGTCAAAGGCACCTCACGCTTTTTTCCGCCACATATGCGTTTGGACCGCCCTCGATGTGAAACTCATGAACTTTACCGCAACCAAATCCCCTGATACTACCCATAGGCCCTCGAAGAGATCCGACAACACCTTCTCGACGTCGGTGAGGTCATTACTGATAAACATCTCGTTGGCGCTCTTTTATACAGTCATGGCAATGAATATCACCTCCTCTGTTCTGAGATTTTCGAACGCGACATCGACAATCTCACTATTGACGACATCTACGCGAAAGTGACGAGATTCACCGGTGACCACCATCTTGACACCCGTAGCAGTATCACAGGTCTCACCGCCATTGCCCAAGACACCGACACTGCCTCTCGCAAAGACGCCAACTCCCGTCGTTCCAAACCCTGTCCTCTTTGTTCCCAACTTAGTCACAGCATCGTCGGTTGTTCTACTTCTGTTTGTCGTCGATGCGGATCCAATGACCACCGCGGCAACTGCAACAAACCAGGCCACAATGCCATTGCCTGTCTCAGCCACTGACGTTACGGGGTCCACCGTGGCACCCACGCCGGCTCCGATATAACTATCCCTACACCCGCCGCACCAGCAATACCTTGCTCAGGCTTCGACGAAAATATATCTCACACAGCCAACCCCGACCCGAGCAAGGCCCACTGCCGCCTTCACACTACTGTGTATTGCGATGGACCCAAACACTCCCCGCTTAACTCCAGCTCACTCATTGACTCTGGTGCTATGATCCACATTCGCAATCACACCAACGGCGTCATTGACATTGAAACCGGCCACTTCACAGTTGAATTTCCTGATAAGTCACAAAATATACTCACTCAACGTGGCCATCTCCCCGGTCTTGGCCCCGTCCTCATTACGCCACAGGCAGCTCAAACCATTTTTTTCTGTTCATCTCCTACAACGTTATGGCTTCGACATATCCTTTCCTCCCCAAACGAACGAGTCCCACCCCACTGAGTATGTCATTCGCCACCCAAATGGGACTACAATTCGTATCACTGATTCATTGGTCTCTACAATATTACCGCCGTCGAGCCCACACCGCTCTTCGAATGACATAATATCACTGGTCACACACATCCGCGCCTACTACGCAAAACCCTCACATGCAATAATATCACAGAGGTCTACACTAAACGTAATGAAACAACTGACAACTGGAAATTACACTACTTCAAAAACATGTTGTCGCCCCGTTTGGCCCCGTTGTCATTGATCTCTACTCTTCTGCCAACAATGCCCAGGTCCCTTATTAATGTAGTCTCGAACCCCACGTATCCCTTCATGATGCCTACGCCCCTGGAAACAACCTCACGTTCACCTTTACGGTAATATACGTTTCACCAAAAAGAACTGGATTGCTACTCTTACTAAACTCGACCGCGAAGATGGCTGCGTCACCATTGTCTTTTCACTATCACCCAACAGCCAGTGTTACCATTATACCTTACGCTAGCTCCATTCCCACGTTGAAGTCATTCGCACCACGGCTGAGACATTTCTCCGTAACGGCACTGAGATCGTCAAAGAACCGCGCTGGCACTATATCGTTGTCGCCTGCCTTAGTTATGTCAAACACGCTGTTCCTCATACTGAGGTCCAACGTAGAAATCGATTGTTGAGTCTCAGATATTTGCCAAAATAGTATAAGAAACAAATGTATCATGGACCTCTGCCTTGTTTCTTCATCCGGTATTGAATCAGAGGAAAATTATGTCGCTACCCCATCAGTACGCAATGGCGATTCCAATAAATTCCAAGCAGTTGTTTAACAATCAAACAAAGGCTTTCTTGCTCACGTAGTAAATTCGTGCATAACTAACTAAATTCAATTAGCTTAGCCTGTAAAGAGCGTACTGTAATAAATACAGTAGTTCGGTCACTTACGAATCTGGTCAAAACCGAGTATACCCTAAAAACCCTAAAAAAACAAAGCAAACCCTAAACCCTAAAACCAGATGAGTGAGTTCCCTAACTGGCCAGCAGGCAAGTATGTCAGCATGACTGATTGTCGTGATACAATTGAGTTTGTATCTGTAGCAAAAGATTTGTTCGCACGCACAAACATGTCATTAGTACAGAACCTATCACTCGTACAAGAACTGCTCAGACAGACAGACGCAACAGAAGTCAGCTTTGGAAAGACGTCACTGATGTGAAAGACTATAATTTATTAATCATTGACAACTTGTGTCGCACTCCAGTAGACTATCTAATAGAGAACTGGCTCAACGACTTCTATGACACTCGCATGAATGCTGAAGTACGAGCAGCGCGATTGCGTCGCACAATCTCTGAGTTAGAGAAGCGTTACAAAGGCACTGGCAGAGAGTCGATCAATTGGCAATTCCTCAAGGCATTACGTCATCAAGTACTAGTCATGTACAGCCTGCAAGCGGAAACGGATAAACTGATCAAAGCTCAACCAAAACCGGATGGTAGTAGTGGACACTTGTCTGACATATCAGTGAAGGTGTTTCATGAACTCACTGAAGATATGATAAGACAGGCAACCATAATACAAGCTAATCGCAAGCGTGACTACAAGAGAGCCAAAAACACAACCATCCCTGACCAGAGAGTCACTCGTCCAAGAATGGATATACCTCCAGGGGGTCCACCCAGAGGGGGTGAACCACTTGGACAACAAGGAAGACAAGGCAGAGGTCGTCCCATAGGACAGGCTGCTGACACCCCAGCACCGCGAGGACCAAGATCTTGTCTACACCGCGGTATAAACCCTTTACCACATGCGTTCAGTAAGTGCCCCAATAAAGGCGAAAGCAACCGTCAAAGTCAGAAGCTCAAGCAGCACAGCAATCTCAACCCGGCCATATCGACCAGTTGGCCATTTGCAAGAGATGGATGAAGATCTATGAAAAGCTTGGTGGTCGGAGGCTAACATGATAAATAGGGTAGACATTTTTTTAGGGTTTTAAGCACAACCTGGCTACATGCAGCTAGCACAATCAGATGCAACAAATCATGGAGGCGGATGAGTCA